AGGGAAAAATTAAACATACCTGGAGAGAATGTAGATGTTCTCTTCAGTAAAATAAAGTGACATGTAAAAAAGAAAAATCCTCTCTTTGTGAAAAGTATTTCTACACAGGACTGAAATATAAGTGCTCTATTTCAAGATATAAAATTATCTACACACAAATTACAAGATACCAACAAGCAAAGAAAAAGTTATATTTTTAATATTCAAGTTGTCCTGCAAGTTCCAGTTAAGTAATAAGCTGACCAGTAGAATGCATGTGGAAATTGCTACACAAATGAGGCAGCCGCAGCCTTTAACTAGACAACATTGAAAGGAGACACAGATGTTTTGATGTAAACAAATGATATTTAAGATGCTCCCAGTTGTTTATAACTAGCTTTCAAGTCTTGCTGCAGTCTCTACAGGATGTAGCTTTATATTACACTTGGCATAAGTGTAAAATTCTTTGCAGCAGTGAGAAGTATAAACTATTTTCGGTCTCTGAACCACTAATGTTTCTGCTGTTACAGAATACACATCCTCCGTGATGAATCAGCATAACTGATGATGAGAGAAATATGCCTAACTATGATAATGTGAGAGTTTGTATAGATATATTTACTGACCCTTTAATGGAAGAGTATTTGATAAGTAAGGATAGTCAAACCATTCCGATTGTATGTAGAAAGTTTCAAGAATAAAATAGGAAATTATCAGGTCAAAGGAATTAGGTTACATAACCTTGTAATACAGCCTCCCTCGTCCTTGCAGTATTTTTATAACCTATTACTCCACCAGGCAGACCAGAGTGATCAGTGCTACAATGCCTCATAACACTGCTTCCCACCACTCTCCTTTTCTCCCCCATTCTGTTTTTCCTTTTTTTCCTTTCCATTTTGTTCCCTACTCTCCATGTAATTGCAGTAGCCACTGCATGTCTATTTTCTCTTCCCATTTTCGTCTGTGTAGCTACCCTGTTCTCTCATTTCTCACTTCCCTCTTCTTCCCCCTCCAACCTTAAATACAGCCTTTCCCTTCCCCCGCTCCCTGTGCACTGTGTCTATCCTCTCCAGCTGCCTTATACTAAGCAATAGTACCATTTCAGCAGAGAGGTTTGACTAGTTAGTTATGCCCTACTCTCTCATTTTATTTTCATAATGCAAAGGAGTCTGTTTATGAGGTGCCCCTAGCTGTATATTGATTTTTCCATACTACATATGTTGCACCTGCAAACACAATAAGATAAATTAAGGACAGATGGAGGGAGTCTCTAGGGGACAAATTGTGAGCTACATTCAGGATCTGGCTCCTAGTTTGGAACAACCATTTGTTTTCCTCTTGGTGTCCATTCCTTTCTGATAGAGCTGGCAGGGAATAGGTCCTCCTCTTTGTCAGACCACCAGGCACATTCCCAGTACTCAACAACATTTAATGCCCCTTTTTTGCACTTACTATTGGAGGCATATTCTAAACAGGTCTTTCACTTGCACTGAGAGAAACTTTTGTTACATTATCCTGCAGCAGCGCTAGAGGATTCTCCTGCTATTCTGCTTAAAGCAGACTAACATATTTTCTCCCAAATATCTATGGTCAAGTACATTTCCTTCTTAAACTAGGAGGTACTCCAGGAATGCAACCTTAGTTTCACCTCTTCTCCCCTCACAGCCCAGTCATACCTTCGCTAAGCTCCAGGCCACTCAGTTCCTCACCATTTCAGCAGCCTCTCCTGTCTTCAGGAGTACTCTTATTTCTTCCCTGTCCATAGCTTCAGAACCTTCCCTTTGTGCTCTATCAGAAAGCCTGTGTCCTCTTTGGAAGTCAGCCCTTCTTTCTCCCAGATACAGATCCCTCCCTCTCTTACTGCCCTCACTCCCTGATCCATCCATCCATCCATCCATCTCAGGGTTGCCTATACAAAAGCTGCACCCCATTTTTTGAGGCCCCTATTAATTCACTTCAGGAAACCTACTTAGGGAGGACTTTTTAGGATGATAAGAGTATAGTACAATCTCTGTTACCTGGAATTTAACTAACCAGAATACTTAATTAACCAGAATTTCAGTGGTGGGGTGCACACAGCGCCGCACCGCTTTGCTGCCTGCTGCGCCACTCTGAGGGTATCTGAGTATGCACATCGCTCCTCACCGCTTTCCTGCCTGCTGCATCGCTCTGAGGGTACCCGCACAGGGTATCTGAGTGTGCACGCCCCTCCCCCCTGCTGCAGCAGCCTGCGGCCAGGCTGCCCTGGCATTTGGGGTGGTTGACTATTATGGCATTTTTATCTGTATACTATTTTATTCTTTTAACAGTCTGTTATACTGTGATGTATTGTAGACTAATTCTTTGAAAAATTGCACTACAAGTATGGCACCATCTTCCTTGAGTATAACTCTCAGATAACTGGAATTTTAATATAACTGGCACCCCCCCCATTCCTCACTCATGCTGGATAACAGATTTTAGTGTACTTAGTAGTGCTTTCACCCACACAGCACTCATCTCCAAGAGCTTTAAAGAAGAGTAAGTACTTTCTACTATTACCCAAATGTATGCGCTGCTCACATAGATTCAAGCCTAGAGTATGCAAGTCATAACAGGGATGCTGCCATGCTACCTTTTCATGAGTGGTTTGCCATAGATGTGCACAGCTGCACAAAGATGTCTGATAAAACGCAATAAATTTATACACAGTTGAAAATAAACAAGGGGCATGTGTACATGTTTACTAATATGCAAGGGACCATGGGCTTTCCTATTCAGTTAAGAACAAAGCAAAAATAAATACAGCTGTATTGAAATGTGCTTTCATTTGTTATATTATGTATAAAATTCTGAACAAACCAGGCAAAAAATTTTCCTCACATATTTTCCTCACATACAACATACACTCCTTGCCTATAAATCAGCTACTCACCAACTGGGCTGCAAGAATTAAGCAGTGAAGATAGGGTTTTAGCTTTAGTTAAGCAGGAAAGGGCA